ATTTGGAAGATGCTTCCGTTGATGTATAAATGGACATATGGTGGGATGTTTTATATGAACTTCTAAAAAGAAAAGTTGTATTAAATTTTTTTGAAAGGATAAATATTTTTGTGATGTATGTTACACTCAATGGTACTATTTAGGGGTACCGTGGGGTGTTACACAGTCGCTATTCAACTCTCTCCAATCACAAAAAATTTTGTAATTTAGTTGCCTTACAAAATTCTCTCACCTCGCCAACCTTCCTTTTGTTATTTAAAGCTAATAGGAGACCTAGGGCATCAAATTCTCTTCTTCCTTATAATAACCACTAGATCTTCCGTATCCTTAATCTTCTTTTCTCTCTTGCAATCAGTATATGCCAAGCTTTCCTCTTCATTTCTTTCTCTCGACAACATCCACTAAAGTTACCTCTCTATTATTTTCTTTATTCCTCGAGGTATTTTACTTGAATCAACACCATTGTTAGAGAAGGGTTCCTTTCCTTCTTCCTTCTTTCTCTCAAATCGAGATTGAGCCTTCCTTCTCTTTCATTTCCTGTTATTTGAGATTGTTCAACAAGGGCAAGTCTATATTAGTTTTTTTTTTTCATTTGAATTGTTTAGATTTAATTGGTTGCGTTAGATCCTAATTAACTATACTTTCATGATTTTGTATATTTTCTTTTGGCAGCTCTTATTCATGATTGTAGGGTAAATAACATCTTTGTGATGCTTATTAATAGCATTATGATTATAGCTAAGTCAATTAGCTTAAATGTTTTGAAGTGTGTGCTTCTAACTATTTGGCTTCATTATTTGTAGGGTCATTTCCCTTGTAGCTATGTTAGTTGATTTTTTAATAGGCTTGAATTTTTATATTACTCATCTAGAGGTAAGTAAATATTATTTATTTTAGTGTGAGCATACCCTTTCTTATTAAAAGGCATAAACCCATACTTTATGCAGTACATGATTTTATGGTCATTCATATTATTATAATTTTTTTTATTTTATGCATATACTCATAATCACTAGATTTTTTGGGTTGGTGTTTTCCTTCCCGATGATGAGTATTTAATAAACAGACTATAGTTATATGCATATGAATGTTTAAATATGTAATTGAACATGATTTGAAAATAATAAATGACTGATATGTCTTTTGGAGTATGATGATACCCAACGTGATTGCATTATAATGATATTACGTGCAAGAGTTTATTATTTACATTGGTTTCATTATCACATTAAAATCTTTTATAAGAAACATACCATAACTCATGGCTATTTTGATATAGTAACTATAAATTGTTACTTCTATTTTTTTATTGTTCAAACTGCATGCCTCAATCCTTTATTGTTTATGCTTTGATAAATAAGAGTTTCTGAGTTTAATTTACCAAACTCACCTGTTGTCTCTTTTTATAGTAGGTCCTATAGGCGTGTTTAGTGGACCGTCACCTTAAGAGTAGGGATATCTGTAGTAGACTATTTTTTTGTATTTATTTTTTAGTAGTTTATTATATTTTTTATTCTAAGGGTTAGATAGCTTCTTTCCTATCTTTTATTCTATTTATATTCATTTTGGCTTGTATCAAAACTATTGTTATATGAATGTACTAGTTGTTTGCATTTTTTTTAATGAATTGGCTTTTTAATTCATTTTCTTTGTTTACTATGGTGTATATATATATATCATGTTGTATCACTTGTATATGCATGTTTCTTTTTGTGAATACAAAATATGTCTTTTTATTCATTTATCATGTCTCATATTGTCGGGATGTATTGTCTTCCAGACCCGGGTTGTGATAATCTCTCCCATGAGGTAGGTAGTATAAGATTTGTGTTTTATACATCTCTATTCAAAGACTATATATAATATTAGGTTATTGGCGGTTATGCACAATGTCTCCAAGGTCCTAGGAGTGATTTAAGAGGGATACATGATTGTGGACTAAAAAAAAAAAGTAATGAAACAGTGAAATTTAGAAGCCAGCATACCTGCCTCTACCAACCCCACCTCGGACAGTTGGCCTCCAAACGAAGCAAAGTTTCGTTCAAAATAAGAAAATCACCCCGCTTACTGCTTTAAAAGATTGGGAAGAGTGATTGAAAAAAAAAATGAACTCTATAACTCCTTCGACTCTGACGCTGCAGTTAAACTTCGTTGTTTTGTAGGAGACGTCTAGGGTTTTCCATTCATCTTTTTCGATCACTCTTAGAAGTTGAACTGCAGCGTCAAATCCCACTACCCACGAAGTTGAACATAAAGAAAAAATACAGGAATAAAAATAATGTATCCACTAATCAAATATATACAAGCTCCCATCATAATCCTCACAAATCCTCCAATAACTTTCAATTCAATACAACTCTCAAATCAATAAAACTCTTAAATTCCTCAAATCCCTTTTACAAAGTACTCTCAAGCTCTCAAACTCTCCAAATATCAAGCTCTTCAAAACAAGGCTTCACTTCTCATGTCCGAGATCCCTACAAATAAAAGAATGAAGTTCATTAAAAAATGGAATAATTCAATATTTAAATAAATATTAAAACATAAAATGCTTATTGATAAAATGCTACTAATAGAAGCTACCAAGCAGGAAGAAGAAAAGTATTATAGTAAAAATACTAGTGTAGAAAAGTACCAAAAAAGCAAAGAAAAGCCAAGTACAAAAAAAGCTAGTAGAGCAACAGTGTTAAAGGACGGGTAGGATAGTGGACTACTGTAGTAGAAACAAGCTACAAGCACAAAACATAACAACCAAAACACTAACCTAGTGTCAAAGCTTCGAAATGTCAAAATCACAAACTCAAACTAACCCAACAAACAAATAATCAAATTCAAAACCTCTGGGCAGCCTGATTTATAAGAATTAGGTTGTAAGACCCACTACCTGGCAACTTTCATAGGAAAGTCATAAACCCGACCTTAGTGGGAAGCCTTAGGTAAAAAAATTGACCTAACTCCTAACCCCCGATTAAAACCCTCGACCACTTCTAATAGAAGTCGTAAGTTCGACCTATGAGGCAAGTGTTTAGGTGATAATGCAACCCTATACCCCTCACTCAGGCATCCTAGCCTATAGGGTTAGGTTTTAAGACCCACCAATAGGTCACTTCTAAGTGAAGTCGTAAGTCCCATGTGTTAGGGATACTTTTAAAATAAAGTATAACAATCCTAACAATCCTACAAATAACTAACGGGCTACTCTCTAACTATAAGTCCCAATTTAAATCAAATACTTGAGTTACTTTCTATAAAAATTGTAAATCCCAATCTAGGTTTAAATCTCCGGGCGACTTCTAAGTGAAACCATAAGATCCATATTTTAGGAAAATTATTAAATGAATTGCAATGACCCTAAAACCCAAATCTAACTAAAAAAAATTGAATTTAATTATAGGTATCTTAGTCTAAAGGATTAAGTTGTAAGACCCGCTTTTTAGGCTACTTCTTAAGGGAAGCCATAAGTCCTACCGAAATAATTAAAATTCTCAGGTAGCCCCGCTGTAGAGTTAGGTTGTAAGACCCATCCTTGGGCAACTCACAAATAGAGCAATAAGCCCTATTCCAAATTAAATCCCCGGGCTACTTTCTACCAAAGCCGTAAGTCTCAAACCAAATCTAAATACCTGGAATACTTCCTAAAGAAGCCATAAGACTTGCTCAAAACCAAATTCATGGGTTACTTCTAAATGAAGTCATAAATTCCAAACTAAATAAATCTATAGGTATTCTAATAGATGTAAACCCCAAAACACCTAACAAAATTAAAACTCCAAATTTACCACTTCAGTCTACTCGGGATCCCTGAGACGAGACAACCCATGGCTGCTAATCAGATTCCTTGAATACTATGGTCAATGATTGTTAGTGTTGGTAGACTGAAATCTACAGTATACCCGGGATGATTGAACCATGGGATCTTGATCGCGTTTACCTCTAATTCCCCCATTATTGAGACTAAAATTATCTAAAATTTATTCATCTTTAATCGAGAGTTCTCTCTTCCATAGTAAGAGAGGTAAGTAACTATGAGTGCTTGTGTCACGACCCGACCCGACGGGGACGGATCCCGCCCGAGCCGGACCGCGACAAAACCTTCTTAACCAGGATCTGGCTTTGGAATTTGGTTACTGAACTGAATCTTCCAAATTAATTAAACTCAATAGACACACAACCACAGAGCTACTATGAATCATCAAACACAGCGGAACAAAACATCTATATTTTCATTTTCCTCAAAACAATCATCTACAGATACAGTACATGACTTTTGAACAGAAAGAAAGACAGAACAGAAAAGCGCTGCAAAGCGGGATTCATACATTCGTGTCATTTTTCTTAAGCCAACAATGATGATGGGTAAAATGATGGATTTAGGTAGAAATAAGATTCCTCTCCTTAAGAGCAATATCGCAAAGTCAAGAGGATAAGTTAGGGATAGGCTTAACTAGAGCGGAGACATAGTTAACTAAAATAAAGTCCTTAAGGTATGTGTTATCACAAGTTATGTGTAGATAGCCAATCAAAATTACTAACAAATAATTCTTGACATGGCTATGTAAAAGAGAGTTCAATCTATCACATATAGCCTAAATCCATTGAAGTCAAGTTAGAGACGGAGTTAGAAGGGTTGTGTTCTTGTAGAGTGATGTTTAAGAGCTATATTAGATATAAGGCTTCATTAGCCTAAAAAATTGTCAATAATTTTTTTTAATTCTATAATATAAAAATAAAAATTTAATGAAAATATTATTCACTTCTAAATATGATATTCATGAATTTTTTAATTTATAAAACTAATTTTTTGTGCTCTTAAGAGAAAAAATCAATTAATCTTTTTGTGCATTTATGTTACAATATTTGAATTAATTAAAAGGAAAATAATTTCGGATATAATTTTTTTGATCTATTTAACATATAAATAATATTATAATAAATATAAATAATAAAATATTAATTTTGTTGATAGATGAATTGAATATTATTCTTTAAAGTCAGTCAAATTCATTCCTAGGTGAAAAATAACTCCGTCACGCTCGCCCGTACTTTTGCAGCCGAACGCGGCACTGGAAATCCATTCCGGCGGAACAAAGCTGGAAATTCCCGTCTTCGTTCATGCCCTCAACCATCTCTAGCTATACACGCCACCAGCGATTTCTCCCTTTAGAAAGTTTGAGATAGATAGATATGACGACGGAGAGCTGGCGAGGGATGCTGGCGGCGGGCAAGGCGAGGTCTGCCGTGCGGGCGATCAACATCAATGCTTCGGCGCAAAAGGTGGAGGTCGACAACCGGATCTCACTGGACTATTATTATCGGATAGCCGAAAATCTACTCCGGCAGGTCTCTCTCTAGCGCTTATTCTCGTCATTTTTCCAATTTCTTTTCGTGGGATGCCATGATTTATGGTTTACTTTAAGAAGGATAGGGGGGTTGAGAGTTGGAAAACGAGGAGTTCAATTGCCGCTTTCTTGGTTTGTTGCTGATAGTCGGATGAAATTCTAACTTGAGGTAGAGGAAAGTTTAGCTAGGGTGTAACTGGAACAATTGTGACTTCGTAATGGCATATTTTTGGAGACGGCCCTAGGATTTTATGTACAAGTTCAATAGAAGAAAATTATATTTGAGATTTTTTAAGACGCGTGTGAATTGTTACTCGATTAGGATGAAAATTTGCTTGATTTAGAGAGCTGTACCAGTTTACATGGTAGCAATCAGTTTATTTGGAGATCGTAGTATTTATGCAACTCTTAGTTTGTGCTCATAAAGTGGTCGTGCATTGGTCTGCAATTCTCCTGTGCTGACTGTTGTGTTGCCCGATTGCTGCATCTGCTTGACATTTTTTTTACAACATTTAGGGCATCTCCAACCGAGAACTCTATTTTTCACGGCAAAATAACGCAAAACTCCAAAATGCCGTGCGGCTGCTCTAATCGAACGCAATTTTAGGTGTTTCTGGGAAGGTAACGATCGTTCTCCTTTCGCGCGTTTTTCCGGTTGAGAGCCGAAAATGGCGTGTGTGAACAGTGCAACGCCAATATTGGCGTCGTACTGTTCACCTGCAAGCAGATGGCGGAAAATTTTGCGTTCGGTTGGAGCGACCGAACGACGCCATACGCTCGTTTGGCGTTCGGTTGGAGATGACCTTAAATGAATTGGAGTAATTACATATGCAGAAGAAGCATCAAAGAAACATGATAATTGACGCTGTTGGGGGATGTGAAGTGCTTTGTTAATGGTTGGATTTATGATATGTGAGATATTTGTTCCAATTTATTTCTCCCTCTTCCAAAATGATTGAGGATGACTTGGCATGTGTATTTTTGGAATTATAGCATACATCAACGTTGATAGATTCTAACAGTTTGATTTTTGGTTTCAATCATTGTGTTTTTTAATCGAAAAAAGGGTATTCAGGTTCTTAAACTAAACTGTTACTTTAAAAGGGATTCCTGACTCCTGAGGAAGACACACGGTTATTTTTATGAAAGCTAAAGTTATCCATTAACAAGAGGCTTTAGCTGGGGTTCACATGAGTGGAGGTTTAATTGGCTGTAACTAGTCTTAGTTGAAGATGGACTAGAGCATTCTTATGTTTATCATTTTACTGCAGATTTTCTAGTTGTTTTAGGTTACCATTTAGGGTTGTAAGTATTGTAAAACTATAGAACCCAGCAGAAGTGTTGCGTCTTTGGTCGACTAAAGCTAAATACTTTGTAAGTGCTCTATAATGGCACATTTTGGGGGTTTTAAATCTTGTTTAAAATTTCAATCAGGATAAACAACAAGTTTAGACCCAAAGTTATTATAAAATTGTGAAATGGTATGCACCATGACATATGGGTTTGATTGTTATGTTATAGTAGCTTCAGATGCTCAAGCATCATACAATATCACTGAGAAGATCTAGATAAATCTTGGGAAAATCTAGGAAGGGTTTGGTGGAAATTGGAAGCATCCTCAAGTAGTATTTGTTAACTGAATTTTTTATGAATTGGGATGACATTGGATTGCATGAAAGTGGATGAATAATACAGTAATAGTAACAAATTAAACTTTAAATTTTAAATTTTAATTATAATAATGACACCGTTTCAAGAAGGAAATTCTAAAGAAAACTGAAACTAAATCTTAAAATAAGAATACAAAATGATATTTCTAAAGGCTTAAAGGATGAATATATTATAATCCAGAAAAAGAGAGAAAAACTGAACAAAAATATCCACAGCTCTAATATTTACATGAAGAGATGCAGTTGGACCAGAATGCTATAACGAATTGCTTTTATCATACTTTGGTTGTTCAACATCCAAAGAATCCTCCTCCCAAGACTAGAGTTGGCTAACAGGATTCACAGAAATCTAATTTTCATACCACAAACACAGCCGACCCTACATAGTGGGATAAAGGCTTTTTGTTATTGTTGTTGTTGTAAACACAGCCAGCCTGGAATTTCCCTGTCTCCACTGTTGGATGAAATTTATTTGGTTTGCTGGGAATGCATTCCAGCCACCTCATGTAGATGGTTTCCTTGGCCAAGACAGCTTCAGTAAAAAAATTTCAATTGGTGGCTGCTTTTATCTAATTTGTTTTCTTGAAATTATTGGAGCGACTTGAATTCTCGTTACCTGAAATTCACAAGTAAAGAAAATATTTAGTAGATCATTTATACAAGAAGCTTTGCAAAATTAGCGGCTAAGAGAGAAAAAAAAAGAAAAAAGAGAATCTGATAGAGACTTTGATTCAAGGTGAAACTCTTTAGAATACAGGTTTCTAGAAATGTTAAAAATAGTTGAATCTTGTATATAAGTTCTTGCAAAACTTGTAGATGATTAGATACCGGATTTTCTTGTGTTTTTCTGTCTAAAATCCCTTTAAGATTCTTGAATGTCTCCTGCAAAAACTGCTGCTCAAGAACTGTAGAAGTGGACTGCTTCATGTTGAATTGTGGGAAAGATAATCTAGACACTGCAGCTGCTATGGATCCTTCCAGTTGTTGGGAAGTACTGAACATGCCAGCAAGACAAAATAGATGAGGCTAGGACTCTAGGTAAACCAATCTTGGTAAGGCCTTGGACCCCACTATGGATTCTTTGCCTTACCACCCTTGAAGACAAGGAGAAATCAACCCCAATGTATAGGGAACTCGTTCCCAAATTCAAGAAACTTGAAATATACTATCAAAGAAAAAACCTCCTTCTCCCTAATTGAGCCTTAGGTATTTATAAGAAACCCAAAAGCCAACGATAAAATTATTACTAAAATATCCCTATAAAACATAAGGGTAAAAAGCAATTAAAAAATACAAGAAATAAAAGGGGAAAAATAGAGAATAAGGAAGTTTAATAGCTTCTAACCGCATCGTGCTTTTCGGTTAGGGTAAGATTTGTCTTCCTTGGCTATTTCCTTTTCATAATCATTGGAGGTAACCAAAATACTCATATCTCCCAATAATTCAATTTTATAAATATTTTCTCCTATATGCTTAATTACTCTAAATGGTCCATCTGCTTTTGGCTTAAATTTAGTGGAAAGCGTTCTTTATGTAAATGAATCCAAACATGATTATCTTTCTTGAAGGAAACTAGATTATGATATGTACTGGCTTGCTTCTGATGCTTTTTTGTTAAAATATTTTGAGCTAGATGCTTACAAGTTTGTAGAAACAAAATTAGTAAATTTCTATGTCGATTATAACGTGAGTTAGGAGATTTTGGAGCTGCATAAGAGAGTTTTAATGTTTGTGATGTATCTTCCAAGCATAATGCGCCTTGCACATGTCAGCTTTAAATTTGGTAATTTAGAAAGGAAATTATATGAGTTAAGGTTACGGTTAGGGATTTTATTTATTTATTTGGAATTTGATGGAAGAGGTGATGGGGGATGATCAAGGTAAAGGGAAGCATATGGGTTATTAATGTTTAGAAGGCTAGAAAGAAAATTGTTTGTTTCAAATTATTGTCGTGCCCTTGTTGATGAGCTCTTTTTTGACCTTTCTCTTTCTTCTCTGTTGAAATTGCCTTTGGAATTGCTTGATTGTTCCTTAAATTCAATCTTTGAAAGAGGCTTTTGAATCTTTTGGAATCACACAAAAATCTTTATGGATACCTTATTGGGAATTGGTTGTTCGCTGGAAGCAATATTGAGAAAAAAGTTTTGGAAATTGGCTCATGTGACAAGGAGAGAAAGGAGAATTTTTATGCCTTGCAATTTTAGAATTTGGAAAAAACTAATAGGAAATGAAGAGTAGTTGTAGGTTGGGGGGGGGGGGGGGAAAAAAGGGGGGGGGGGGGAATAAAAAATTAAGACTTTTCAAGAAATGAGAAAATTTTAAGAGGGGAGAGGATAGACAATAGATGAGAGAGAATCTTTTAGAATTTCATTTATAATTTCCAAGTAGCATTGATCCACCTTATTAATTAAAATGAGATTGACAATTTTTAATTTAAATGTAGATTAGCTCTAAATGTCTTGTCATATAAAAGAAAGATAATTCTAAAGTTAAATACATTAAAACTGAAATATAATTCTAAGAACACTCCAAAATGATAAAATCTTCCGAAAATTGCCCATGCTTATTTTTAATGCATGCCTTTACTGCATCTATGTGTCAAGGGTAACTTGCTTCAAAATTTCTTCATTGTTGTTTTGGTTTCTGAATGTGCAAGTGTCCTTGAATTGTTAAATGAAGAAGTCTGAGCCGTGTGCTTGGGTTTGTTCCTTCTTATGGCCAATTCTTTCATATGAGATCTCTAAGTTGTTTAGTAATGCTGTGTTGTTGCTTTGCTATTACTATTTTGTATGAAGTAAAATCACCGTACTCATCTAGATTGGAAATTTTATTCATTCCCACAGCTATGATGTAGCTTATGATGTAGTATGGAGGGTTCGTTTGCAAGTTGGAAATTTTCAAAGTACATTTCCCAAGAAAACTCAAAATATTCTATTTGAAAGGCACAGCCAAAGTAAATATTTACTAAATGAAGCCTAATTGATGCTCTTCAAATTTGCTGGTTCATAAGAAAAAATAAATTAGGTCCTAAACTTGACAGTATTTTCTGGTTTCTTTCTTTATAAATAAACATGCTCCATCTTCCTTTGGACTGATTAAATCTGTATACAATCAAATTTGCATAGTTAAGGGTCTGTTGCTTCTACTGTTCTTCTCCCTTCGCTATTCTCCCTTTTCTCTTCTCTGATCTACGTCATTTTAATTATTTACAACAACTTCTAGTTATATCTGACCTCTTTCTCTATATGTAAATTGTCGGTTTTTGTAAGATTGACAGTTAAAAATGTTTCTGGTGTAGCAATTTGACAGTATAATTTTAGGCTGCTTTAATCATTTGAATAACTTCGTTCTGAATAGGATTTCTTGGTGCTTATTTTCAGGCCAGCATATATAGGGAGGAGAAGAATCTCATTGATTTGTATATCATACTCCTTAGATTTTCAAGGTAAATAAACTTTGTGTTTGTCCATAATTCTTTATTTATGCACTCCTTCTAGACCCGCAAATTGTCCAACTTTTTGTTTGGCTCGGTTAGAGCGCATTCGTGATCATTTAATTAATTGATTGAACAAATTTGAACACCTTTATAAATACTTGATTAAGAAATGAACAAACTTGAATATTTTGGTTTTTTATTCGTCTATGATCATGAATAATATTATTTAAAGTTCATGAACAAGCTTGTTAAGAAGCTCCATAATATACTCATTTAATAGTTGGTTACAAATTTATTTAATATGCGATTATATGTAAGTCTTGTTCTTTTTTATGCTACATTTGGTGTGAAACCACATGCGAAGGAGCTTCTTAAGAAAATTAAAAGTGATTGACAATGGAATTACAATTAAGAGCTTATTGAGATAACAAGTAAAATCATTAAAGGTTCTTAGTTGTTAACTTGCTTAGGCGAAGGAGTACAAGTAGATTAACCAAAAACTCCTAGGTAACCAAAGATAGTAGCAATACCAAAAGCTATTAATCAACAATCCGCTACTTAATAAAGAGAGTTTTCACCTTGGGGATGGATCACTCAACTACACTAGGCTTAGCGGAAAAAGGTCTTCAGCACACCCAACGATGCCACGAGGACGGTAGCAACACCAATGGCCTTGATCCACGGAAAGGTCGGCGGTGGCGAAGGTGGCGGGGATGGATGACCTTGGAGGATCTGCTGGACAGCAGTTTGTTCATGCAAACATCAACTATTTGAGCTTCCTGTGCTGGGAACGTGTGAGTAGGGACGGGGAAATCCTTGGCTGCAGCGCTAGCAAGTAGACGGCTCCATATGGGAGGAGTTGTGGGCAGGTTTTGGTGGAGAAAAACCAATGTACATGGCTTGGGATAATTCGGCCAGCAGCAGTAGGAGTTTAAACACTTTCCTTATGAAGGCAATGCATCTAGGGAAAGATTTTAGGATAAATCCGGTAAAGGCCAAGCCGTCAGGTTGATGGGAGGAATTGGAATTTATTTCCTAATCCTGAAATCAGGTTTTAGGAAATAAATTAAGGCCATGAGCTCACGTGAATTTCGGTTCCAGCAATTGGGAAATAAATCCTGATTTTGCTCATATGGTGGCCAGCGGCATTCATGGAGGGAAGGAGGAGGTTTAAAATGTTCCCAAGGGGCGGCGGCAATGAAGGGTTGGGAAGGGAATTTCTTGTGGTGGAGGAGAAGGAAGATGGAGGTGAATACGAAGGAAAAGATAGAAAACCTAATCACGAGCCGCGGACTCTTCCAACGACTGTTGGGCCTTGCGATTTGCTCCCCTTGAGCTCTCTCCCTTCTCAAGCCCTCATGCAAGGAGAAGAAGTAGAAACACAAATTTTTCATTTAAATCTTCATTAGCTATTACAAGAGAAAAGACCCATATATATAGGTCTCAAGCATACAAGAAGAAATAAAGACTAAATTGCCCTCAGGGCCCCAACATGACTCAACTCAACATAAGGGTACAAAAGGAATACATAAAATAAAATGCATAATAACTAAAAATATAAGCTCTGAATCGTGGCCATTGATCTGCGATGCTTTCGGCGATACACCTGTTTGAACCTTGGATCGATGTCCTCATCAACATTGCTTTTGCTCATGAACACAAGTTAATTGTTTATGCTCGCTAAAATGCTTGATTTGGCTCAGTTCATTTGCAATCATATTTCAATCATCTTAAGCTATTCTGCTTATAATTTCTTTGTTCTTATTCTTGTATGATCTTCATGAACTATTAAGCTTTTTTCTTCATGTTAATAAGCTATAAGGTGTTTGAATACCACTGATCTTGCAGTCTGATGTGTGAAACAATACCTTCACTAAATTGAACAATACCTTCACACCTTCAAGTTAATTGTTTATGCTCGCTAAAATGCTTTTTTATTACGTAGTTCAATTAAATTCTCATTTTTAAGCTCATTATACTGCTTATTAACTGGCTCGATAAGGTTTGTTCAATTTAGTAACAAACTCCTTGATATTATTGCTCATTAATAGGCTTAATAAGACTTATTTAGTTAGCTAACGAGTTGAGCTCAAACCTAGCTCAAACAACCATAAATTTAAAAGAATCGAGTTTGAACACTACTACAAATACTTGAATCAAGCTCGATCGCTAGCTCAAATAGGATTTTGGCAAATGAACTCAAGCTCGAAAAAGCTCTTGCTTGATTTGGCTCAGTTCATTTGCAATCATATTTCAATCATCTTAAGCTATTCTGCTTATAATTTCTTTGTTCTTATTCTTGTATGATCTTCATGAACTATTAAGCTTTTTTCTTCATGTTAATAAGCTAAGGTGTTTGAATACCACTGATCTTGCAGTCTGATGTGTGAAACAATACCTTCACATCGAGATTATCAGATCTTGCTTTCAAAAGAGAAAGCTGCATTTAGGAAGGTTAGATCACTCATTCTCTTTTCTGCTCATAAATTTTCTAGTAAAAGATTTTCATTAGAACTAAAAAACAAGCTTATTTTTACTACACATATTGATCCCTTATTGATTCCAATTACCATATCTTAGAAATTGCTTGATGTTATTAATGAGCTAGAAGCTCTAAAGCCACTTGTGCAACATCAAGTTGATGAAATCAATAAGGGGAGTACGCATCAAACTATTGGATTGGACAAGAATTCTTTTGATCCTGGTAGAAAGCAGCTCTCCTCAAGTTCTTTTTCCATGCAGGTTCTTTACCTAATAAATCCTCTTTTCCATTTTTAGATTGGCTTCATTACCTTAATCTGTTATCTTTTTCTTTGAATGTATTCATTATATGAATCTGTGCTTCGGTAAGTATCATTCTTTGACTGAGTTTGCTGGCAATTTGTATCTTCTGAATTTTTACAGATATTTTGAGATCACGTATTACTGTCCATTTACCTCACCTACTTATCTTGGTTTTGCTTCTTAAACTGCAGCCGCCTTCGCGATTTGCATCTGATTTATTACAGAAGAAGACTATGGAAAGAAATGAAGTTAAATGGTCTGAGAATCAGATGGACATGCAATTTAAGAAATTGTATATGCCTCACCTAATTTTTAACCATTGGAGATACATTTCTGATCCTTTATAATGATGTGAAAAAAAAGTAGTAATATTCTTGTCCGAAACCAAATATCTTACCCTGTAGTGTTTTATTCTCCAATATTACCTGGTGAGAGTATGTTCTCTATTCTGTTATTTGGCTAGGATTTCAAGAATCTTTGTTTTTCCTTTCTATCCTTCTAAATACCTACTTTCTACCCGTTCCATGAACAAAATTCTGTACATTCTCTGGTTTTATTCCCTATTGTAGGTCTAAAAGTATTCGTGTTCATGTGTTTATTGAGTAGCTATGTTTTTCCTGGTTCGTTACCTCTAGATTCAGATCGACAGTGTGAAAAGCAAATGAACAGTTTTCCTATCAAGTTGGTTCCTCAAAATGTTGTATTAGCAAAAAAATCGATCTTTAATTATTATTATTATTTCAACAGGACCCTTAATTTGCCATATCCAAAGGAAGAAACATTATCCAAACACTCCATTTTAGGCCCTGATGGGCTTCAAGGACAGTGGAAAGGACCTATTTCTGGTATTAGGGTATAAAGCTTTTGTTTTATAAGTTTTTTTTCTTCTGAAAATTCTACAATTTGAATTGATCATTTACTGCTTACGGATACAGGTTCAATATCCCAGCTACGTTGACTTGGCACAGAGTGAAACTCCTGGGTAAGCGATATGTTTGTGTTTGTACTGATTAAATAATAAAATGGTCATTTGGCATCACACTAGTTAATTTTATCTCCCTCAAGTTTTATTTGGGTTTAGAATTATTATTCGACTTCATTTTCATTTTACCTATTTCATCAATACTAGATGAGTTTTCTAACTCAAGGTGCTATGTTATTTGTAACCAAATATAGGTTAAATCAGGGGGAGCCTCACGACCCTGCCATTTTGCCAAATAGCTATTTAAAAGGAAGAAACTCTGTTATGGATTCTGTTCTATCTCTTGATGATGGAAGTTGGCCAATTTCTGGTGAAGGGTCCTGTTCTTTGGCCACAAATACTACAGAAGAAGATTTTTTACAGTTGAATATTAGACAACCATCTATTCCTCCTGTTTTTGCTGAGGTCCACTCAGAGTCATGTTCTATATCTCCATCAAAAGTGGCAGATCCGAGACCAGGGCTGCCAAAACTTTCACATGAGGGAGATTCTAAGACATATCAGAAATTACATGTAGTAAGATCGATTACCTTGCCTTCTTACCGTGTACATTTAGAGAAAATGAATTTATTTGTGTTCTTGGGCATCTGAAGGCACAATAATTTAGTATCTTCATATTAAGTTACGCTTCCATAAGTCTCTCCTTCGTGGTAACATTTGATTTTAAGAATTATGTATTGGACAGCCTGTACAAATGTTGGAATGTTTCTTGAAGCTTGCTGTGGGAAACACCACAAAAAATCTAGAGACATGTGGAGTTCTTGCAGGCTTACTAGTAAGTACTTATGCAAAATGTCATCATAAGTTGAACGATTTACAAACTAATTGAATCTTATTCTGGAATTGTTGTAGAAAAACAGCACGTTTGTTGTGACAACACTAATAATCCCAAAGCAGGAGTCAACATCTGATTCGGTATTATTCTATGCTACCAAACTTGTAGCTTTTATCTATATATGTTTTATATGCCTTCTTTAATGTTTTGAGAATATGTTGCCACCATTTGAATGCTTTGTAATTCCTATAACCACTGCTTCTTAATTTATTACAGAAATTTGCAGGTGCACAAAATTTGCTGGTGTTAATTGTTGCTGATGTAACTTTATTGCATTTTTTATTGTGTATTGATTTCTTTATGATCTTGCTTTTGCACATGTTATTCTTTGCCACTGTTAATGGCTGCTTATATGTTTTTTCAGACAATTTATGATTTTTTATATGTTTTTCAAGTTCAACCATGTTCATGTAAGTACCATTCTAGCGTGTGAATTCCATCTCTATATGAATTTTCAGTACTATTGTATGCGACAACCATTGAGGGGATACATTTTATTGGAAATTAATATTTTAGGTAGTAAATTTGGCCCTTTTAAATGATATTCTGTAGTTGCTTGTGCTTGTTCAATTATGACCTTTAATTAAGAGTTGTAAAATTGATTTCATCAGCCAAGAAATTATCTAGACGCATTTGAGATTTGTGTATGAATTACTAGAAATGTTTTGTACCAAAAATTTCCATATGTTTCAATCAAAAGAAAATATATGATTAACAAATGGCATGTGAAGTGAATGTTAGTCGTGTGGAAGTATCCAAATAGTATTGGGGTTTGGTAGGTGTCCAACATACATGGTCCCGAGCAAAGTTTTCTGTACATGTAGGGATTTAGTTAGATAGAGAATGTTTGGAGTTCTTTTGAGGTACTGATCAAGGCTTTGGGGTATGTGGAGGGAGCAGTGTTGGGTGGGAAAGGTGCTCTAGGTTCAAAGCAGAGCTTAAAAAGGATTGATGCGACCAAAGAGATTGATATCAGTTAGATTTGTCATGTTTCATGGCTATTTCTAATTGCATGACAATAGGGCTTTCACCTGTATGCTTTTGAAAAAAATACTTGGCTTCATGGTTGTTTCTCTTTTATAATGATATTTAACATAATTTCAATACTATTTTTAACTCTATTTCACGTGGGGGATTATTGCAATCAATTAACTGAACTTGTGCGTGTTAGCTTTTAGCTACTTCGTTCTCTTTGGGATATACAATATTTTACAATCATCATTTATTTGCGGTGCTAGAGATTCTAATAGGACACATGCTTTTACAAGCTTTGTTTGTTTTTTCCTCCCGCCTTTGAGGTTTTGAAATTAATTTTCAGTGTCAGACAACCGATGAGGAAGAGATATTTAATGTTCAAGATGAGCGCTCACTATTTCCACTTGGCTGGATTCATGTAAGTTTCTGACATAACTTTTTTTAAAACAGTTGTTCAAGCAATTATTTTAATGCTAAATGTTGCACATTCTCTTCGTATCTGGAGTGTTATTATGAAAATTTTTGTTTTGTGTTCTTGAAGCTGATTCCCTTAATCATGCTTTTTATTTATTTGCTTCCGCAGGCAATATAGAGTTAAATTATTATGTTTTATTTTTTTATTACATGATTGTGGCTTATCTTTAATGAGTTTAAGCCTGACATTTTAAGTTAAAAAAATATTTCTATGATCAGATTGTCTGAAAATGGAGTGTTGTGTAGACCTTTTGATTGAAATTTCCTTTGATATTTGTACTTTTCTTTGCTTTAATATTACTTGATCTTTTCTTCTTTTTTTCTAAAGGTCAAGTTCTTAAATGTGTGAGGATTGAAGAGAGAATAAGCTTTGAAAGGGAAGAAGGTACTCGGATTCTTGAAGAAATCAAGGGATTAGAGAAACAGGGATTGTGGATTAAAATTAAAGAATTTTCAATGAAGAGAGAAATAGTTGATGTGAAACGTAATCGGAATTGCACGGAGAAACAATAAGACAACTGAATAAGCAAGTCAATATAAAGATTAACGAGTCACAATTAACGATTTAATGAAATCTCAGTTGCGAAGTTGCTTAGGCAGTGTTACAAACTCGTTAGGCAAAACAATTTAAAACAATAACAAACATGCGAGTAATGAAAAATGCACGTTAACAATAATCCATGAGTTAATATTTAGAAAAGTCGCCTTGAGTTTCCCTCACTCAAGCTCTCTTGCGGTTAACGGAAGAAAGATATTAGCAATACTAACGTGATCACCACGAGGAAGAGGGAGCTTACAATACTGTCCACAGGAAAAGCTCGTCAGAGTTGGAGGAGTCGGTGGAAGGTGTAAGAGTTGCCACTTGGATGGAAGGTAGTATTCGTTGATGGCGGTTGATAGAGAAAATAGTATCCGATCCACGTAATCTTCAATGATTGCGTCAATCTCTACGTTGACATCACATAAAGGCGATCTCAAAATGTCCACACGTCCTTGGAAATCAAAGATGAATCTATGATCAATATCCGGATTGACCATGCATAGTTGTCCATGAGAAAATGTAGAGAGGGAGAGGAGGAGGGCTGGCCAGTTGGAGGAGAGGGGTGAGAGAGCCTAGTTGGAATATGGGTGGGATGGGAACAAATATGAAATTAATTTCAGATTTCCCTAATTTAAATTGAGGTTAAAGGAGTTTCAAAATTTGAATTTGAAAGTAAATATTAGAGAGGGAAATATCGGAGTAATTGGGCTTTAATTGGAGCCTTGATTTAAGGCACAATTAGGGAAGCTAATTAAAAAAATAAAATAAAATAAAATAAAATAGGGAAGCTAATTAAAGAGTTGGTCGGCCATAGAGGGGAATTGGGAGGAATTAATTAGTGCTTAGGTGGCAAAGTGGAAAAAGAAAGAGAGAGAGAGGGGACGGTTTAAGAAGGCCGGCCAATTAAAGAGGGGAGAGAGGGCATTGTTTTAATTCGGTGGGTTTGGAGGGAGTTGGATTTGAATTTGAATTCAAATTCAAATAAGGTTTGAATCTTAAATGGGCATTAAATGGGGGAAACCCATTGATGGGCCGGCGGCATGCTTAGGGGAGGAGGGAGAAGGGGAGAGCAATTAATGCCTCTTAATGCATTAAACCCATTTAAGCAATGGACTAAGAATTCCAATTTAATTAAATATTAAATTAGATTTGGATTGAAAACTTTCCTAATTTGGCTTGGCTAATTTAGGAAAGTATTTGAAATTCAAATTTAAATTTCAAATTGAATGATGGCTTTCAAAAATCATGTAAGCTAAATTTGGTAGGTCTTAATGGTGATTAAACTACCATTAAGTGGTGAAAAGAAGGGTGGCAGGCGGTGGGTTTGGTGGTGGGATTTGGCCGGTGGAAGGAAAGATGGAGGAGGAGATGGGTGATGGGGAGAAATGGGTGGGGGTTATCTGTTTGAGGGAGGGGGGAATGGATGCCGGCGGTATGGGGGAAGAATGAAGGAGGTAGGATACAATAAATAGAAAAAACCAAGAGCTCACCCGCTGGTGGGCTGTTGGGTACTCCGATGACCTCTCCTAGGCTTCACCAATCACATGAACTCACTAAGAAATCACTAAGAAAATAAACTGGAATTGCATTCATCAAATCATCATCCCAAATACAATAGAAATGACCTATATATAGGCATCACCAAAAAGAAAAGAAACAAAGACTAAAATTCCCTTGGGGCTATAACATCAAATGACCACCCATAAGGGTAAAACAGTAAAATTGAAAATAAAAATAAAAATAAAAGACTAAAAAATATAAGCTCCTGATCGTAGCCGTCGATCTCTAGTGTTTCCTCTGATAAACACGCCGAAATCTTCTGTTGATGTCCTCATCAATAGTACCCTAGGGAATCATGTTTGAGAGGTGGAGCTTAACAAGAACATCAAGGTGGCGCTAAGGAAGAGATTGGATCCATTGATGTCTATTGTATTTGGTTCATGTGTCTCAAATTCAGTTTTTATGAGTCAGTTTGGCTTGATTGAATCAATTTATGTTGGATTAGGTCAATTGGGCTTAGCCATCTTGCTTGTTGAGTTAACCACGATCAATTAGGCTAGGTTAGGAGCAAAAAAGGCTTAATAAGAGCCACCCAAGAGCTAGTTAGGTTAAACAAAACCTAATTGGGCTTGAAATGAGCTAATTGAGCCATGTAATGTCCAATGGAGCTCAATCAAAGGCCAATTGGGACACCTGAAAGGCTGAAACCTAACTAAGCAAGCTAAAGGCCAAATTGGCTCAACCTGGGATAATCTAGGTGCAATTAAGTTCATCATGCTTTATAGACTAGTTTATCTTTAACCCATGTCAGTAATAACTAGAACCCAATTGAGTTGACTGGGGTCTTGGTTGAGCCACATTACTCGAGTCTGCCTTACCTGATGAATTTATCAAGTTGACCTATTAGATTTGCCGAGTGTTAAGGTTTAATTGAAGGAAGTTAGGATTGAATTTGGTCAATTTAGCCAAGTTAGGGTTCATTTGGGTCAATTAAGACTAAGGTTGATGTTTTTCTTGAAGTCAACCTACCATAGGGTTGGTTGGCTTGAGGACTTTAAGCCTAACCTACCAAGGATAGGGCTAAGTCAGTCTGTATGATCGGACTATTAGCTAACTAAAGGGGCAATCACTCTTGGATTTTTTTTAGTTAAATAACATGCTTAAGTTCATAAACCTTTAGTAGCTTAATTGTATTATGCTTAACATAATGTAATGAAATATTAATTGATTCTCCCAGTATCCTGGCCAATTGAATAACCTTACCCAATGTATGGAGTGTCTTCCGGATCAACAAAGCAGAAACAGGCCTTTTGGAGCGGAAGATAGTACTCTAATGGATTAAGCTCCATTTATAATCTTGGAAAATAAATAAAGAAAGCAAAGAGAAATTAGGATATTAGAAAGGGCTCCTATCTTGGATGTTTTGTAGGTTGTTGAATGAATCAAACAACCAAATTAAAAAGTGGGATTGGGAGTTGGGTAAAAAGAATACAATGAGGAGCAATACATAGGGCTGAATCTAGGACAACAAGAAAAACATGAGTCACCAAGAAAAGCAAAATATGAATTAGCAACAAAAATATATATAAAACTAAAGGAATTGGTGAACATTTAACCTTTTCAAATTTATCATTTTAAAGCCACTATTTCTCAAATTTATTATATTCGTTTATCATCACTAATATGGCATTTCGCATGTGGACTGATATTTGTGTTGTCTTTCTTTAGTATTCTCCCTTTGAAGGTTTGAGACAAAGACACTACAAAATTAAATTGACTTTTAGTACAAAAATTTGACATGTGGCGCATTTAAATTTGATATAGCACAACTATGATTAACTTGTGTTTGACTTTTATTCTTCATCATGTTTCTTAATTGGTTATAGGAAAGTAAGCCAATCTTTTATATTAAATTTTGCTGTTTTAATAATTTAATTATAAATTGAAGCAGTTTTAATTCTATGAAAATTTTTATTCTATCAACTCAAAACAAAAGATTTAGCTAGGCCTAAAGCCAGAGGAAATTAAATTGTTTTAGTAATTTATCATGGTTATGAAGTCCATTATTGAACAAAAAATTAATATTGCTTGTAATTTCTACTAGTTCTATATTAAATAAAAAATTAATGTGATTATTAAATGAATATTCTATTTTAAACTATGCCTCTATCTCATAATTTTTAGTTTTTCTTTTCTATGTCTATGATATTATAATCAAATTTACTTTCATGTGTTTATTTTATTGCAATCATTTTATTTTTAAGACTTATTGCAATATAAATATATTTCAAAGATCATGATAGTAGAACTTTTTTTTATTGATTTCATCTTTAATTAATTTAATTCTCAATAGCTACATAATGCTCAATTTCTTTTGCCAAATTCACAATTCAAATTACTTGCATGGGACAAATATATATATATAAACACGCACACTTGTTCAATCAAATTTTGAACTAGCCTTGGCATTCTTTAGTTTATCTTGAAATGAATTTTGATTTCTTTTTTGCTTTGGTCATTTTGCTTGTTAAAAATCTTAATTTCAAATTGCGTACAACTGGAGAAAAAGAGAATTCAATTCAAATGAAAATGTTCATCACCAATTTCGAAGATCCTTTTACAACAACACTATATTTTTCAGGATGAAAATTTTCACCTTCTTGTTATGCAGATCCCTGAGGTGAGTCGTCCAAAAGAAATCGCTATGATAATTTATGATCAACTTTCTGATTTTCACCATAAGCATTCATTTTATTATGTATCAAAGTGTTAGATTTCCCCCGAAATACAGTAGTAACAATTTTGTTGTAATCACTTAACAAAGCACCATTACCATTCAATAATTAAGCCAAATAAGGCTTTAGCTTCAAGGAATAAGTAATAAGCACTTTCTTAGCTAGCTTCTTAGTTGTTTGCAGAATATTCTTTTCAACAACTTTCACACCATCCAACATACATGAAAGAAGCGGTGCAGAAATACTTTTAGTCTCCTCCAAAACAAATGCCATGATAGTCTCTAGTGAGAAGTCAGAATTCTTTACATTATTGTCCTCAGAAAATGCTGAAAAAATTTCAATATCAAATCATCACAATCAAGATCTAACATCAAAACATAGGATAACCTTTGCAATAGTTTTAAGTATTGAAACTCTTTTTGGAAATAAACAACTTTACATCTCATCCAAATTCTTGAAAGCTCCAACAATCAGGCCAAATATCTCCTTTCATTATGTTATCATCATTTGGAGCATCTGCTGTTGTTATTCTTATTATTTCACTAAGACAAGATTCAATGGAAACCTTCACATCCATGTTTGAGTGCCCTAGAAGATCGTTGGCAATCAATGCCTTCATAGCAGGCTGAATAGCAGTCAACATTAAAGTAGATATAGATTGCTCCATTCTTGACAATAATTTTTTTAGCTTTATCAAGAAGTAAGTGAACCTGTTTTAAATCGAATGGATGAGATACCAACTTGTTTCCGATGTTTTTGACCACATCCTCCAACATTAAATCATCAAGCAACATTTGCACAGATGTGCACAAGAGTGGCTGCATGTAGGACAATAAGGGCTCCAAGCTCTCAGTCCCTTGCAGGCGCGCACAAGACCATTGATCCAAGCGTTCAGATCTTCCAAGGCATACATGTAGAAAAACTCTTGCACGACTCCTCCCGACCTCGGTTCTGCTTCCGCGCACATAAAGGCTCAACCTTCTTCGCACATATGAGGGTTCCTGCTTGCTCCTCTCCGCTCGACTTCCAAGACGAGACGCACGAAGCAGATGATGAAGAGGAACACCACTCCTCTCTCGATTGCACGCATGGACGAAGACTGAGCCCGATGCCACCATTCCCAAGAGGAGGTCTTGGCTATTGTCCAGACCTACATAGGAGGAGGTCTTGTGATCGACTTCTGGTCCGTTGACTTTGGACGTCTCGCAAGAACGAAGACCAAGCCCAATGTCGTTGTTCCCTGGAGGTCCTGGCCGCTGTCAAGATGCACCCAGGAGGTCATGCGCTCGACTTCACTCACTTTTGCTCGGTCGACTCTGGACATCACATGCAAGAACGAAGACCAAGCTCGATGTTGCAGTTTGCAGGAGGTCTTGGCTGCTTTCCTGACGCACGATTTTTTATCCTGACCACTGTCCAAATGCATGATTTCTTGTCCTGTGCAGTGACACGTACGCAAGAGGAGGCTTTCGCTCGGCTGCGTTCCGTTCTGCCCCTGAAGCATGCAAGAGGAGCCCTCCCACTCAATCTCTCCTTAGTTTTGGACGCACGAGAGACTCTCGTCTTCGCTTCTTTTGGCCTCAAGCACGAAATAGAGGGCACGAGTGGTTTGGACTGCTCGACTCTCGTTTGCTCTCCAACAATAATGAAGGCCACTTGCTTCTCTCTACTTCTTTGGATTCATATATCCCAACCATTCCGGTAATGATGGTTGGTGGAAGGATCAATATTCTCTTAGAATTTCGACAATAAAGGCTGGTGGTGGGAATCTGGCTCTGATTCTATGTTAAATTCATAGAATTGGAGAGGGAAAAGGCTTTCAATTTTATTACGCAAAACTATCCATATTTATAGATCTATACAAGATATCTTAATAAAGAAACAAATAAATATAGAATCATGCATAATTGCCCTAATATAATCCTTCTTAAATCAGCCACCTGAATATGAAAGGAGATCGGCGTAATCCAGGTGAACCTCCCACGAATTCCCATCCTGGCCGTGGGATCAAGGGTCAATGGACAGCTGGGATTTAACAAAAATCGGCGTGATCTAGGTGAGTCTCTCACAGATCCTCATGCTATCCGTGGGATCAAGGCCAAGGGACGGCTGAGATTTAGCAGTAATATTATTTGGTATGAAATAGCATAAATTTTTTTACTCTTATGGATTTGGAAAAGTTAATATGTATGTTTATCACTCATGGTCATGAAGTTGGAGGGCCAAGTATTGTTCTTTTAACAAAAAGGACTTAAATTAAGCAATGTATGAGGTTAGTGCTTGATAATATTTGGATCAGTTCATAAAATATATTGAACAACTGCAGGCCTGCTTTAAGCAACCTTTTGTTGTTTTGAGTGTTATTTTTGTTAGTTTATTTAAACTTTCATTGTATCTGCCTTGCAGCAACTCTAAGCTAACATTAGTTTTAGTAAAATGGTTTTGTTGATACTTCATTGTGGTTAATAAGTGCTTCCAAGTGTATGATTGCTCCTCTACCTCTGAAAGGTTATTACTTTTGTTGTTCAGATCAGTGCCCGTTTTTCTTTGATCTTGATAACTTATTTGGAAACAACGAGATTTTACTGGCTGCTTGTCTTTGATCTAATTGATTTAAATTATCAGCTAACAGTTTTTTCTCTTTGTTTGTTTAATTTGTCTCCATTTTTACCAGACACACCCAACACAAACCTGCTTCATGTCATCAATCGATCTTCACACTCATTATTCCTATCAGGTAATGATGGAAAGTAAAAGATTTTCTTGCCGGCTTAAAATTATTTTGTATGTATGGGAAATGGTTTCTTTCAATTAATTTTGTAATCAATTGTTTGGGTAGCATTATAGTGCTATTTAGCTATTTGGAGAAATATATCATAAATGATTGTAACTTTTAAGTACTATAGCTTTGTTCTGATTTAGGGTATACAAAGGTAATGAAAACTTTTATCTAAAAATTTATTTTATATCCCACGTCATATCTGGTCACTCATTTTTTCTTCCCAAGTATTTTACATTTAATTTTTTCTTTCCTACTGCAGCATCATCTGATTCTCTTTTCTAGATGCCTAACCATAACCTCGTATCTCAATAGGTGTTACCGACTCTCTCCAATAGTCATTTACATTATCATTTGTAATTTTATTTGACTCCAGAACAATCACTTCTTGCACATCCAGGGCATGTTTGGTTGTCCTTAGGTGAGAGGAATTGACATTTCCGACTTCTATAAGAAGGCACTTCCTAGGAAAAGTGAATTGAGAGCAATTTCACTTTTCCTAGGAAGTGAAATTGCTCTCAATTCACTCTCTCAATAATAAATGTCATTTTTTTTCTATTATTTGATTTTATATATATATATATATATATATAATGTAATGGAGTATCTATAGTGGTAAGAAAATAGAGAGTTTAATGTATTGATTTTATATGAAGATTTAATATACATACACAAATAAGAGATATGGGTGCAAGAATTATAAGTGACCAGAAATTTCACATGAAAATGCAAAATGAGGAAAAATTATTGGGTCGGGCTCAGTTGAAATAATTTCACTATTTGTATAGTTGATTAGAAATAATGTCGTTCTTTAGAGGAAGGCAGCCTTTCTTTATGGCCATAAAGGCATCAAGCGTAGTCTGTGAATTTCAATGATGTTAGAACTCCCTTAATAGCCATCCGGAGAAATCCTCTACTTTTGATATTCATAATATTGCCCCAGTGTTATGATAACGTTCAAAGTTTTGTTTAGAACAATAATTAAATTGGTTTTGATAATATGGAAACCAAACACCAAACCAACCAAATACACACCCCTAATACTTGTAGCTAAGTCCTGTATACATACATACCACACAATTTATATAGATTTACATATTGAACACCTCATATAACACCAAAATCCTTAAATCATATTAAAAATATAATTAATATTAATTTTTCTAAAGAGACATATTTTTATACCTATATTTTAAGGGTTAATTTTAAACTAAGTACTGTTTAAAATTTAATTAAGTTATTTACCAATGTTTTTAAAAAACTTAAAAGTCGCCCATTTGACGGACGACTGGTTATTAAAGGTAAGTCGTTCGTCAAACAGACAACTTATATGAATTAATTTAAAAAAAAAGATATCAATCAGTCAATGTTCAATTTCCGAGATATGTTTTACAAGTGTACAATATCGGTGGCAGCTTTGGTATTAATTGAGTTGTAAAGTTGCAGGGAGCAGTCACATTCATTAATATGTAAAGTTGTCTTTTTAAATCAATATGTATTATCAAATCAGATATTGATGTTTGTGTTGTCTTATCATAGAGCCAGTAGCATCTAATATGATTAAATTATATTTATTATTTAGTTTGGACCATTTACATGTGATTCGAAGGCTACATAAGTAGTTGATGGAGAGCTTCCTTGGATGAGTAGGAGCTGTATCTTGTAGTCTTTAAATTTTTTCTGCAAGAGTTATGCAACTTCTTATACATGACTTAGCAATGTATTCGATGATTATTGATAAGATTCGAAGAATCCCCACGAAGCAGATGATTCAGGAGAGAAGCAATCAATTGAAAAAAAGTTTAATGCGATTTACTGATGAGAGCCTTGAAGCGAAGTCAAAAAATAATAAAAATTTCGTTGTGTTATGCATTCTTGGAACGAAGATGAAGATTGCTTATTGTGACATATGCATGATGAAGTTATGAAAATAAAGTTGTACCGGGCTGGTGATGATCTTAGATACATGGGGTGGAGATATTTGCAGTAGCGGTTCATAGAACATGATGGACATTTGGTTTCGTTGGACATACTGAAGGGCCGAATTTGTGAAATCGGATGTGATAGAGAAGGTTCAGTTGAGGTGGTCGTTGAAAGGTCAATGGTTGATGTAGATGATGCAGGACCACGTATGCAATGTTTAATTCATTTAGATTTTGCACAACTTACAATCAGAATAATTCTAGAACAAATCTACTAGCAAATTCAAAACAATGAAATAAAGCAATTAGTGGTTATCCGCTTAGGTTTAAAATCACATGATCAGAACTTTGAAGCTTCCAAAATAAATAGAAAAACAACACGATTAGCAGTAGTAGTTTTCAAACTAATCCCTAATCTAACAATGAGAATTAGGATGCATTGAGGTGCACTCAAATCCTACGATTACTAAGCTTAAGCAAGAGCAAATGGAAGAGTCCGCCGTAACTGCAATCAAACCAACGAGAGTTTAGACTAAAAGGAATAAGATGCAAGGGAAAAGAGAAACCTTCGTTAGGGAGAGGTGGAGATCCTCCACTCGACGCCTTCGAAGTGTTCGTCAATGGCTTCCGCCAAGGAAAATAGGATGCGCTCCACGTAGTCTTCAACGGTGTAGTCAATCTCCAGATTCACGTCGAAGAATGTGGATCGTAGGATGTCGGTGAAACCGTCTTCGTCCCAACTTATCCCGTATTCAGTCTCCGGATCCGCCATTCATGGGTGATGGCAAGTAAGATCCCTTAGTACTTGATATGCCTCTTGAGTAGTAATAAAAAAAAAGAAGTTTCTTTTGAAAGGGAAGAGGAAGTAAAGCTCCCAAACCTCTTTCTCTCAAAATCTGAAAACAGTTTCAGATTTCTTCTAAAAATCTGAGACGAATTTCCAGATTTTAGTAGAATAGGATGTAGAGAAGGTTGAGGGAGGAGTCAAGCCTTAATAGAGATGATAAGGCTGAGAGTAAATTCCAAGCCTCAGGTTCTACACTAGAGAAGCCGTCTGGAGCAATTAGGAGAGAGGAGGAAGGCGGTGGAGCATGAGAGGCGGTGGGGACTTAATTCCAAAAGGGGGGAAAGCAATAACTTAGCCGGGATTAAAGGAGGTGGGGCTTGGGATTTTCGGCCAAACAAAATTCTCTGGTTTGGAAATATTTCCAAAGAGAATAACTTGGTTTTAGGGAAGATTTCCTATTTTAAATCCAAGGGGAGTCTGGCGGTAGTTAATGGGAAAATAGGGCTTGAGATAATTATTAATTGCATGCTAGATTAGGATATATAAATTAGGAAATAAGATTTTAAATCCTAATCAAATAGAATGAGGTGTTAATACTTTCCTAAAATAACTTTGTATGTTAGGCAATATTTTGAATTTCAAATAATTTGAATTTGAATTCAAATATACTCCTAAATATATCTAAGCCATATTAGGAAATAAATAGGGGAGGAGGGAAAATCAAAAGAGGGGGAAGGGGAAGGTGGCCGGCGGCCAAGGGACTCGGGTAAGACCTTGGTCGAGGTAATGAGAGGGGGAGAAAGGGGCTCGGGTGAGGGATGTAACCTTGGGTTGAGAGTGGAAGAAGGAAGGGGAACCAAGAGCCACCGGTGGTGGTGACTGTTGGGTACGACGGGTGGCCTCTCCTACGCTTCACCAAGATCTCTATCTCTCTCTCAAGCTCTCTCAGTAGCTCCAAGAAGACAAGTGCAGGAAAAATATCTCATAATCATTCATTAATCAATAAGATGAAAGAAAGGGCTATATATAACCGGGTACAATGACTCAATGAAATAAAAGACACTCTTGCCCTTTGGGCTTACATACGACGCTTCCCATTAAAGGGGTACAAACGGAAAACATAAAACACTTAATAAATAAAATGCATGAATAATAAAATAATACAAATGACTCAAAAATACAAAGACTCGATCGTGGCCGTAGATCGGCTACCACATCTCTGATAAACCTTCCACGATCTGATGTCCCCATCAGTAGATCACTGTACTATGTACCATAAATGGTATCATGTACATGATGAAGGGCTATTAGAGTCATACAAGAAGCTGATGGGAGATGTTGTGCAAGGAAAGAAGTTTTTGAATGGAGGAGATTGACAGTAAAATTCAACAAGAATTTCAGTACAACTTTAAATATTGCCCAACTCAAACATAGTTCCAAGCTCGCCTAGACATGCTAATTAGAAATATGTTATTTCATCTTTTTCTGTTGATGTCATCAGAAGTGTTTAGGTTTATTCTCCGTTTTACTGTTAAGCTCGTGTTATGTTGTAATTTTTTTATTCTTAGTTGTCTTTTAATCCATCATGAATGAAAGCTACTTTGGTATTTAAAATAGAACAAAGCACATGGAAATTGAAAAATGGCGAAGGTATATGAAATAAAACAAAGAAGTAGTATATAATCCATATCAAAAGAGTACAATATGAACATCATAAATATAAATAGAAATAGAAATATCCAGAATGTACAAAATATATATCAGTGATGCCTGCTCTTATGATGATGTGGTATCGCATCGCTGCCATGAGTAAAATGTTGAGGTCCGCACGAAGGTCTAGTGCGTAGGTGGTGCTGCTCATCAACAATGTCATCCGCCTGTGGTGGATGCCTCAGGAAAGTATGAAGGTGCAAAATCGGGAGTAAATGCAGCCTCAATGTTTGGTAGCGTAGGAATCGTAAGTGATGGGCCCTCATTAATGTAAGAGGAAGGTCCAACACTATATGGCTCTACAGGTACATGTGCTGGGCTAAATGTTGTATGTTGACTGTTAGTATCCTCGAAGTACCGATTATCATCAATATATATTTATTTGCGCAAGCTGCGACATAAATCCCCTAAAATGTTGATGTCCTGCTGCATAGTGGTGTCCTCAGTCCCGCCAAAATAAGGATGTAATCTGCTCTCTACGCTGAGAAAGAAATCCCTTTGTAAGAATTCCAATAATTCGTTATGTTATGTAAAAGTAATAAGTTTAACTTGAATGTGCTAGTTATACGCA